AAAATTACAATGACAAATTGAATTTAATATGGTAACGTTTTAATTTCCTACACAAACTTTTACTCATTTGCATCCCTTTATTTGCTGTTTGTGTTGACGCGATATTTATCGTCAATTAAACAACTTAAAAAAATAATAATGAATACAGTTACGATTTCAAATAACGAACCCTGAAAAATTGCATGCTAAAAGAAATTGCAATATTGAGTGACAAATAGTCTTTGTGTTATTTTTTTGGGGTTGATGCAGTTTTTAATCGCACACGTCTGCGACTTTTAACGACTTGTTGGATTGACATTGCAAAAGTCGAGATATTCCTCGAAAAACCAATGATAGCTGCCAGATAATATCTCTTTGATATTTTAATTTGTCATCACTAAGAAACAGCACGGTAATTTGCATGAAGAAAGAAATGAAAGCTAGCAACGAAATCAAATGTATATGTTTAAGAAAAAAGGTTTCGAATTCTCTTTTCAAAAATATAATAGTTGCTTTTAAAAGTCCTACGAAGGTCAATCAAATGACGCATAGCCGGTTTTTCCTAGAAATGTAACTAATTTTAAAAATAGAATCCATAGGTACTAAGGTTTTAAATCATGGAGTTATAATAGGTATTAAAGTCTGTCTCACGAAAGAAGGCATAACTCTTATTCCTTTGTAATAAAAGCGAAAACATTGTGCTCTGAGGCAATTTTTTCGTAAGACGAACTATAAACTAGCTATTAGCTGTCAGCTGATACCAACTGAAAACGAAATAGCGCATATATTACAAGGGTGTGTGTGTCGCAGTTTGAATTTCGAACAGCTTGTTTGAACCTCGATGTAAATCGAATATTATTCGACGTCGCTTGCTTGTTATTGTAAAAGAAAAAAAGGTCGCTATTTGTCTATTCTCAGATCGATGGATCTCATTGGAATACTAAAATGTGTTTTAATATTGCCTCTGTCCATAAAAGGCTTCGAAGATTAAAGCAGCGAGGTCGACAACCTATCACACTGTGTTTACTTTGGTTCGACATTTGAATCATCAGTAAATCAGTTTTCGTCAAACGCTCGGAGCGCACGTGGTGACCATCCAGTGTGTTGTTAAAAACAATATTTAAATTTCGAATGGATGACGATATACTGTAATCTATGCTCGAATTTTTGTTTTGAACATGAAATATTAAAGCAAAGGGGCCGTAGCTCACCACTTGAATAATTTAGAACCAAATCTTATCCATTTGCCGCAAATCATATTTAATAGTTTCTAAATCTATAATCTGCTTATTGATTTCAAGTAATTATTGAAGTATTCAATGGTGCAGATCGACGTCAAAGATTCAAAACTGTTACTAGGCAATTGGATTGCTAAACTACTTATAAAAAAAAATATTTTTCATGATAGAAAGAGATAGCATGTCAGTTTGTTTTGAGTCTTGACTCTACTTGTTCTTCGAACAGGAGGTCGTTAAAAAGTTAAATGAAAAAGTATGAATTAATCAGTTTGATAAAACGTGAATGAAATGCTAAGTAGGTGTAAACACACTCGAAGTCAAGACATGGACGATTTGGCAATATACATATTAAATCTAAGAAAATCTCATGCATCATCGATCTAAATTTAATAAAAAGAAGAAAAAAATTGTTTCTGGTTAGTATATTTTATAGTAATGATTATATTTTCGAAAGACACTTTCTTGAAATTCAGGGCACTATCAAATATAGATTAGTGTTTTTTAGAAAGAACACACACCATAGAGAATATGACACATTAACCCTATACTGTACGCCTTGACCCAAACTGATAATATCACAGATATTTACAGAATTCCTAGTGCACCAACGGGCGGTAGCAACAAAAATAATTTATACGCATTGTAGTTACACTCTCGCTAAATATACAACATACAATGTTGCATTTAGTGCCGCAGCGAATAGTAAATGATATAAGTACTTAGACCTTCTTTTGAAATTTATCGCACATATTATTATTCTGTTTCATTTAATTAGAGCAAGACATTACATATGCTGATAGCGGATTAAGGGTTGACTACGTCGTCTTTTTTATCGCTTTAGAAACTACATTTTTGGGTTGACTACGTCGTCTTTTTCATCGCTTTTAATGCAAGAAAGAGCGTGTTGCATATCCCCTCGAGGATATCGGCATGCACCGTCTATCTTTTCGCTTTAGCAAATAGCGGTTCTGAGTTACTGAAAAGGATGACATTCAACACTAAAATGAAAGCCCCATGTTTGGGAAAAAATTGTGTCAGGCCACGATCAAGTTATTTCACTGTTCACTGGGTTTATGACAAATAAATTATGTAACGTATGTATCACAATAATTATATCTTATTTAAAATTAATAAAAACTCTGGCATCCCGAGATGGGACCAGAGTCAGATCCAGAGACAAAGTGGTTTTTTTTAAGCATTTTCCATTAAGAATATTTTTCAGTATAGTATTGTGTATGTAAAATTGCTCAAATATAATAAATAAATGTTTTATTTACTATTAAAATTCAGCATAACCATTTTATTAAAACAGACAATCATACATATATTTTTTTCTATTATAACTAAGTGGTTAATCTAGATTACATTAATCGGCAAATATAGAGAAATATTATTTTGCACGCCACTACGGAATAAATAAAACCTCTATTAAATAAAACATAACAATTTTAAACTCTTCTAATAACAAAGTTATGATTAATTCAGTTTAACAATATTACTTTCAAAGAATACATTCTAGTAAGATTCTAATTGAAAATTGTGACCATGAAAAATATAGAAAACTTAGATTTATAAAAAAACCAATAGGTACTTATATCTTATGGCATATTTTTGATATTCCAACCCAAAGCTACATTATACGCATGTTACATCCATAGGCTACAATTTATGCAGGCAAAGTCGCAGGAGCTGTTTACCCGTATATATTAAAAAGGGAAAAAGTTTTGATTTTTTGTTAGCATTTCCTAATAGGTTATAGTGGATGGAACTAATCTTATAATGATTATGAACTACTGTGTCAAAGCAGGGTTGCTTTTTTTTTCTCACTTTTATCTGTCATATTACCTTTTAGATGCTAAATAATTAGTTAGCATAATGACTTATGCTTTGTGCTGTTTATACTATTTAAATATGATTACAGCAGTGTAATGGAATTAAATTGCATTAGAATAATTAGCATAAGCAGTCAGACAGAGCTTAAACAGTGTAATAAGTACAAATCTGTTGTCTATATTGACAACAGAAATTGACTTGAAAATAAATTGGGATAAATTGACATATCAAAGTAACTAGTATAAATAGTAACTGTACGTAGCTCTGTGGCGTAGTGGTTAAGCGCCGCGGCCAGCGATGGTTGTCGTTAAGCAACTTTCGCAAGGGTCGGTTACGGGATGGGTGACCAAAAAATTATTATCTCGAGCTACTCTGTGCTTCGGAAGACACGTTAAGCCGTTGGTCCCGGCTGCATTTGCAGTCGTTAATACCCTCCAATCGGCATTGGGCCAGTGTGGAGGTTCATGGCCCATCCTCCATAACCATCCATAAGGAAGGCCTGAGCCCCTGCAGTGGGGACGTAAAAGGGCTGATGATGATGATGATGATGATGAACTATACATGCTGCTGTATATTGTTACATCTAAAAAAGACAGTTACAGTTTATTATTTTTAACAGAGACACTGCTGACTGCTTACTAATCAGTGCAGTTTTTATTTTATAAAGTATGTATTTATGTTATAAAAAAGTAACACTAAATTGTATCTTGCCAACGTTAACAAATAAACATGTTGTTAGGGTCAAATGGACCCCTATTACTAAGGCTCCTCTGTCCATCAGTCAGTCACCAGGCCATATCTCATCAATCATGATATACATGCTAGTCAGTTGACATTTTCACACATGATGGTATATCTAAACAGATTTTAAATAAATATTTGTTTTAGATAAAATTTTTTCTTTTAGATAAAGAATTCATTACCCGTGAGTTCTTCACACATATGGCTAGTTTTATAAACTGTTCTATGGTGATCATAGACAACCTCAGGCGATGTTGCACACATCAGTTTTACTTAGTTGAAACAATTACTACTTTAAAAATGATAATTTATGGTCATTTTAACTTATTTTATCAAAAACAATTTACGGTGTAATATCTTTCTATATGTCAATTTTTCAACAGGGTTTGGCATTATCCCGCTGGTAATTCCTTAGCCTTAACCACTATATCTTTTATTTATTTAATTGTTTTGTTTTGTTAATATACTTGTTTCATACAGCATTGATGGATTTTTGTAAAAAAATATTTTATTCTATATTGATTAAGAGGTTTTCTATAAATTTGTCTGCATTTTATAAGACTGGTTTCCATATGTTTTCATTTCATGTTTTTTCATATAAAATGAAGAAAAAAAATTGATCAGTGTTCGTATACAATTGACCACAATAGTCATAAAGGTTCTCATAATAATATTTTCTATGACTTGAATACAAATGAAAATTTTACAAATTATTCATCACAATATGCTTGGGCATATCATAATTTATCAAGCATCAGTTAACATAATTGGTTTATTAAATAGGTGCTAAGTTAATTGAATAGTTGTTTACCTGTGTGATAACTAGACAGACAGTTATACAATGAAACAATATGATAATATTGAAACATCATTAAATAAAGCACTAGTACTAATTCTTATCAGAGTCTGATAACGAATGCAAATGACTGATAAGATTATAACCTCTTTGTTTAAACAAAAGTTTACATTCAAATTATTCCGTCTAAAATGAGTATTTGAACATTTCAGGTTCATTTTTTTTATCATAAATTAACGCATTTGCAAAAGAAACAACCCTAAAAATCCAGAAAAAAAGATAAGCCCCACGATCCGCTTGAAACTTTTTAAAATAGGTTATGTCAACAAGTTTTTTTTTTTTTGAGTCGATTTAAAATTTTAATTCCTTTCTGCCGCAACGTTGTTGGTCTTACGTTTCGCTTCGTTACACACCAGAATAACGGAAGATTTTAACCACGAAAACAAATTGTAGCACTAGATAACTGTAAGGTTCAATAATGTACACCAGAAACACTAATTTTGTTTTGAACACTTGAAGCACTGCAAGATCCGATTGTTGTCACTAGTTAAATCGATAATAACACTTAACGAAAAAAATATAGGTTATAGATTTACTACGGTGTCGAAATAATCAAAACAAGAACATACAGCCGCAAATTCTGTTTTGTTACTGACTTCCGATCGAACAAATGAGACAGACGAAAAAGAACAGTCATCGTGACAATTAGAGTGAGACAAATGTACGAGTTAGAAAAGGATAATAAACCAGCAATTAACCAAGTATACCTATGACAACGAAATTGGTCGTATAAAATTAAAATATAAAATCAAGGTCACAACTAAAATATATATATATATATATAATAGACAAATAAGAACGAAGACAAAATAGTTAATTAATTAACAATGCTGTAATCTCTATTTAATTTTTAGAACAAGTCTGTAGACGCAGTACAGCGCCATCTATGTGTTCCTCCACAAATTTTCTGTTAATTTGTTATGCTACTCGCCACTAGATTACGCTAAAATCGATTCATTGTTTGCTAAAAATATTTTTTATTTATAATAATGCTAAAATCAAGAGGTTCTGTTTATTAATTTTTAAAACATATTTACATATATATATTTATATATATCATCATTAAAATTAAGATTTACGGAGACATTTTGATATTGCGTCACAATTACATCACCAAGAAAATAAGCTGATATCCACAAACGAGCTCTACATGTTAAATAATTTATGTATGTAGCGAGCAAGCAAGTTTATAATACCTACCAATGACGTTTTATAGAAGATACGCATATAAGGAAACAGGTTATGAGCAGTAGTGATAAAAACTGATTTCTATATTCAGCCCGTTTGTAGTATATTGTTATTAATAGTTATTTGTCATAATTAGTGTTCAGCTTATTTGTAATCACCCATAAGACAATATAAACGTATCACTTAAATATTGATGAAAAATTCCAATCAGTGCCATCTTTTGGCGCGTAAAAATATCACGGCCGTGACATTTCGCCGTTCACCATAACAATTTAGAAATCGCAAGACGTTGGATGAATGAAATCAGCGGCATGACAATCTTAAAATCTATTACAATCCCTTACGTATAGCGGTTGTGATAGTGATTTATCGAATTGTTTATCTTTAAATGTCACTTTGCATATACAATTCCGATTAATGTTAAAAAAAAGCTGTCGTCCATTCAATATCTTTCAAAACGCAATTGCTATCACATATAAAATAGTTTTAGCGTGAAGTTCGTTATCTTTCAATTGTCAAATTCAAAGTGACTGTGGTAGATTTGAAAATTGGTCCTTTGCTATCCATATTGAATATTTTAGATAATAAAAAATTTGAAACTAAACTAAATTAATTTTAAGCGTCTTCACTTTGATGACCTCTTTGATAGAGTACTTCGCCCTCAGTGATTAAGTAATTAGCCTGTTTGCTACTATGTTATTCTATGACAAAATCAGTTTCGAACTCTACTTCGACATAAAGTTAATTTCGAGCTCAACCCTATTGTTAGAAACTAGCTGGCAGTTGGCATAGTGTACATATTTAAGAAGTTTTTATGACATGTTCCTTTTATATAGTTTTTTGACTTTTAGTATATTCTTTGATTTTGTGATTAGTAGCTTGAAATTATTGTTCTGTAACCGACTTATAAACTTGTAAACTTATGTAGTAATATTATATTATTTAATTCATTTTATTTAGCATTTCATTATAAAGTCCTCGCTCTAGTAGTTATCATTTTGGTCCTTCGTTAGTTAAAATTATTTAGCCAGCATAATTCATATCATTTCATCCTATTTTTTCGTAGTTAATATTCATACTTCATATTTGTTAATTTGTTCATTTCACGTCAATCATGCAGACACGTAGTAAAAGTAAGTCGGTTGCAGATATTTCAGCGTTCGGAGTCGATCGGATGCAGCACAATAATGGCTCCACGCATCCACGAACTGACGATGTCAATTCGTAACCAACTCCTAGCGCTGATAATATCGATGTTGCAATACAACCATCGAGCGCGAGCCTGCAAGCAGGTCTCACACAGCGCCCCGAATCTTTTGATGGTAGTGTCGCAAAATCAAAAGATTATTCTGTTTGCAGTAGTTCTAAGGGTGAACGTTCACAGTCATCCTACTCATCAGCTACCGTGCACGCGAAGAAACTAGCAGCCGAAGCGGAGCATCTTCGTCGTCGCGTACAACTGGCTACGGAGCAGGCGGAGCGTGAGCGTGAGCTCACCCGTCTACAACTCGAAGCTGAGCAAACAGGACTGCAGGCTCAACTCGCCTCTCTGGATGCTAAAGATAAGTCATCTTATTCTCGAGGTTCTTCTCGAACCTCCCGTACATCAGCTAGACGTACACAGTCTTGGGTCAGATCACACCATGACACATTCTTCGCAGGCGCAAACTTACCATCCGGTGTGGCACATTTAGCCCCGGACTGGCAATCGGAAGCCAACACTCATCATACTGTTCAACAGTCGATGCTTCCAACGGTTTCGATGCCGAAACCACCATTGGAAAAGATCATCGAAGTGTCGCCACCGCTGACCGTCACCCAGCACAAGCCGCTGGGCACCCTACCACGGCCGGCTTTCTCAGCGATGCCCATTCTGACAGTAAACGAGAACTTCTCTATGCCGATCCAACCCACAACGGATGCCGTACTACCACCGAATAACAATAACATCGACTCAGTGTCACAGCTCACAAAAGCCATCATGGATGCTTCCGTACGGCCCAAGAGGCCCGAGCTAGTTGTATTCTCAGGTGATATCAGTCAATGGATGACCTTTAAGTCTAGTTATGACAAAACGAAAAACTTTTTTCCCCAGCTGAGAATTTGGTACGTTTGGGCAAAGCTATTCGTGGCCCAGCATATCAAGCGATGGCGTCGCTCTTATGGGACTCAAGCGATCCAGATGACGTCATCCGTACATTGGAACAGAGCTTCGCTCGGCCGGAGATTTTGGTGGCACGAGAGATCGGAGCACTCCGAAATATAAAGATAAGTAGCGCAGAGCATTTAAATATGTTAGCTAATAAATTACGCAACTTAGTGTCAACCATTAAGTATCTGAAACAATACGAACATCTTTACTCGCCAGAACTCTTTCGTATCATTTTACTTAAATTAAGTGAACATACCCGTAGTCGATTTGCCGACTACGCGGCTACGCAGACACTTCACGAGACACCACGATTGCTGATGTTATCAAATTTTTTATTAGAGGAAGCGGACCGACAATTTAAATATAATTTTGTACCCGAGTCAGTAATCGCTAACCCTTCAAATAAGTTAAGTTATCCTAGACCGGTAATAAAGGAAACCGTACACGCCACGGTTTCAAAGAGTGATGACATACAGTGTATCTATTGTAAGCAAGGTTCACACTCCATCGTAAAGTGCAAAGCATTTCAACTTCTTACCATTGACAATCGTTGGCAGTGGATTCGGCAATTTAAAATTTGCTATAGATGCCTAAAGTCAAATCCACATCGATGGAATTTCTGTCGAGCAAAACCTTGTGGTAACAGTGGCTGCATGCGGCGTCATCACTCTCTTCTCCATGGCGTAGAAGAATCTCCTTCGCAACTTGTCAGAAATACTCAAGAAGGCTCTATATCAAGACAAAAAGTGGCCATAACGAATTTAGATTCCTCACATGTCACCACAGATCAGCCTAATGTGCAAGTGGCAAATGTTACAGATATTCCCTTCAGTACTACAGAACTGCTACGACCGAGAGCTCTTTCACGAGGTATCCTGAAAGTGCTACCTGTGGTGATAGAGGGACCCAAAGGTCAATTGACTACGACTGCCCTCCTTGACGAAGGTAGTACTGCCACACTTATTGATGGTGACGTGGCCGCGCATATTGGAGTTAGCACGTCAGCGTGCCCAAGCCGCCTACGCATAGAAGGTGTCGGCAACATGAACAAAGAGGTAAACGCTAGTTACGTCAACTTTTATATAAGGGGACGAAACCAATCAAGACGTTATTTTATAGAAAACGCTCGGGCTATTACGCCGCTTGGATTACGATCACAAAGTATAGGCAAAATTTGCTTTAATGAGTTCGAGCACCTCGCTGATCTTTCAGAGGAGTTGTCAAATAATGACGTGAGTCCGACTGTACTCATTGGTGCCTCAAATTGGGATTTATCATTGAGTCGAGACATCCGAGTAGGCAAAAAGAACGAACCCGTCGCCTCACGCACCTTATTGGGTTGGGTGTTACACGGTGCAATTTCGACGTCATCCAAACCTATCGACTTCGTCAACACCACAAACGACTACTCGAACAGCGACGACGAATACGAACCTCGAAAAAATTCCACTGAGGAGTTTATGCAACGCCAATACGACGAGTTGGAAAATTTAATTAAACGACAGTACGAGATTGATTCTTTAGGCATTAGCAAGAAATTACCGAAAGAAAATGTCGAAGATCAACGCGCACTCGACATCATTAGAACATCAACTCGAAGACTTGATACTGGTCGATTTGAAGTGAGGTTACCATGGCGTAATAACATACCGAAACCCCTGCCGGACTCATACTTTTTAGCACTATCGCGATTCATGTCTCTTGAGAGACAGCTGTTAAAAGATTCAGCCTTTAAAACTGGTTATGAAACCTTCATTACTGGCATAATTGAGAAGGGTTACGCCGAAGAATGTGAGGCAGATACCTACCACGAATTTTATTCTGGTGACTCCATTAGATGGTACTTGCCAATATTTGGTGTGATGCATCCACAAAAACGTAAGCTTCGGGTGGTACATGACGCGGCAGCAAAGACTAGAGGTTTATGTCTCAATAGTTTATTATTAAAAGGGCCAGATTTGCTACAACCATTGCTAGATATTCTTTTCCTTTTCCGAGAGGGTGCTGTTGCCCTGAACGCGGATATAAGGGAGATGTTTCCCCAAATTAAAATTGCAACAGTGGATAGGGATGCACAACGTTTCCTGTGGCGGAACAAAGACGGGAAAGTAACAGAGTATCGCATGTCGTCGATGATGTTTGGCGCAATTTCTAGTCCCTTTATTGCTCTTGCACTAAAAAACAAGAACGCTGAAGACATGAGCGATAGATACCCAGATGCTAGTCACGCAATTATATACGACCATTACATGG